CATCAGGAGGAGATTAGTGAGCAGCGTACGCTTGCCGCGATCAACAGTTTCAGCATCGACTTCTAAATTATATTACAAGCCAATTGTTATCAAATAGAATAAACATCCTAAAGGTCACTTCCCCAATTCTTCACAAAAGCATTTGAATTTCACCAATAGTCGACCTACCACTGGCTAACCAACGCCATTCATCTACTATTGCGTCAACCAAAGATTCGGATGCCATCTCCTCAGTAACAAAGTATACTCCAATAAGACCCGTATCCTGCAAACCACTGGGATTTTGGAATCCATAGTTGATTTTGCCACAGAAAGTATAAATTAAAAAGTATGTTTCTATAAGTCAGAATAGGCTATGGGAAGCCTTTAAAAAGGAAACAGCGGTTAATTATTATCATGTCCAACAATACTATACAAAATCGGGTGAAGGAGACGAAAATGCTATGAGAAACCAAATGGAAGAAAAATCATGATCAAAAGAAGAATAACCCACACAAAAAGAGTTAAATTCAAAATTTACCTTGTAGCAAGTGTTGAAAGCCTGGAATGACTGAACACCGGCGCTACGACCTAATCGAAGAGCAAGACGAGATGGTGCATTTACTCCGAAGCCACGGCTCCTATCCCATTCACCAATAAGCTGCAAATAAAAAATCATTGAATGCAAGTATGAAGATAAGTATTGAATAAACCTACAGTGTTAGCCACCATTAACGCGAGATTATCCTCATGAGTCCAAGACACTCCTTCAACAACTAAAGCTCCATAAATGGAGTCCATTCCTTCAACGGGAATGTGTATCTGTAAACATCGGATCAAATAAGAGGAATGCGGACACAGAAAACTTTTGAGAAATTTCCATGATACTAAACAGGACGACCCAAGTTCAAAAAAAGGAAAGTCAAAAGATATGCTATCCAGCTAGCCTTTTAATGTTTTCTGAATTCAGTGTCTTTCGTGCATTTGCGGCACATGCACGGTTAGAGCTCGCTACGAATTAATAGGTACTCCTACCTCGCAAGGTTTGTATACGGCCGGAATGAAGTTTGCCGATGCGTCACCGTGCTGTAAGCCACCAAAATATTTCTCTGCTAAGCGTACAACCTAAAATCGATAAACTGGAAAAATTGGATGATAGAAAGAGTTGAAGAGGGCCGACACCTACTTCGTCATGTCGAACCCCACCAGCAGCACTCAAAACCATTCTTCCTGAGCGGTAATGCGTCTTTATGTAGTCAACCAGATCCTTTCGCTGGATGCTACTAAAAAGAGAAGACGAATACTTCAAAAAGAAGGTTAAGTACAAAAAGATGCCATCCAAAAATGATATAAACAAAATTGGCGACGTACTTAATGTTTTCCACAGGACCCAAGATAGTCATCGAAAGCGGATTGCCTTCAAATGTACCAGTGTGCAAATGATCAAAGACTACTTCCTAAAATGCAACAAATTGCTTCTTCTTCTCTTCCGAAAACGAAGCCGCTGACCTGAAAGTTCTGCTCAACTTCTTGCATTTCACGCAAAATAACACTTCTTTCCGCTTCAATATCTCGAGTACTCAAATTGCTGTTGAGAAGTATGTCGGATAGAATCTCAACGGCTAAAGTGTACTATTAGACGAACAGTTAGATTTGCATTATATCAGCGCAATGTTAATCAACGTCAAGCTCACAGTGTTCCAAATCAGTGGAGAAGCACTTGGCGTAGTAAACTGTTTGCTCCCGGGACGTGTATGCATTTAGATGAGCACCGATATCTTCGACCTCCAACTCTAGCCCACTCCTTGTACGACGAGATGTGCCCTACAATCAGAATATGGGATACGACCTACTCCATCAGTATGGCAAAAATTTTTCCGGATATTCCCTAAACGTGAAGCTCTAAAAATAACTAATCGAACATGCTCAAAACTTCTTCTAAAAAACGAATCAAAGTTGCAAAGGAAAACTAGGCAGTCACGGCCGCACTGCTGAAATGTGTTGAAGAACCAGGGGGCAATTTTTGTTATTACACTCAAGGTCTCAACTGTATGGAAAAACATAAAAAACGGATTTGGGAAGACGAAGCAACAGAAAACTTGAACAGTTCAATCAAGAAGAGAAAACAAATAAAACTCATAGATAACTTCAAGCCAGTAATTTCTTAGGATTTGAACATATTTATAGATTAGCGCAACAAGGATGTAGTTAAAGATAAGGTGAGAACGATAAATCACGCAGGAAAAAGTGAGCAAAGTTGCTGCTTACCTTGAAGGCCATATGCTCAAGAAAATGAGCTGTTCCGTTGTTTTGCGTATTTTCGTAACGAGATCCAGCATCGATCCAGACACCGATCTATGAAGAAACCAAGAATATCAGTGCAAAAATTGAGTTCTTTGAAAAGGAATTAACATGCAATTCAATGCATGTCCAAAAAGATTTGACAGAGCATGGTA